CTGATCAGCTTCTCTGATTGGTTGATGTGGCGCGACAAGCAGGAAAAATAAAAATTTTCCAACTTTAGCTTTTACTGCTTGTGAAATTTTGAACATCTGAGCAAAGTTTCCCGGGCAAAAACAAGGTATGTATGGCCGTATACTTGCTAGCTAAAAGCCTGGCTCCAGGTCTCTTTGGTGTTTTTCTACAGTTGGAACAATTCTCCAGACAGACAGCAACACAAGCAACATTATCCAGGAAGCTAATGAACCTTTAAAATAAAAATGTTAGTTAACAAGGGGCTAAAATTATGACCTAAACCTGAAATGTTTACTCAGATTTGTTTTTTTTAGACAGAAACAAAAGGTTCTGCATTTTCCCCCCCCCAACATTAGTGTAAATAACTGGTTCCAGCTGTGAGCCTCAGCTGAGAAGCTCTCTGCTCCAACCCTTGAAGCCGTTTCAGCTTGCTGTAGAAATCAGAGCACAAAGCTACTCACGCTGACATCTGGCGGCGGCTGCGGGGCCGGGAGCTGCACCATGTAGCGCCAGATGTGAGCCGTCTGGTCTCCGGAGGCTGCGGAAAACAGAAGAAAAAAAAAACAGTCATTAACACAGATTCCCACCCAGACACTGCGGATGTCTCAGGAAACATCCAACCTATTGACACAGATGCAGCCGAAAAGTTTAAACCCTGAAAGTATTCGCATCCGTACCTGTGAGCGCCATCTGCTCAGTGGGGTGAAATTTGATGGAGTTGACTGGAACAAAAAAAATGATCAGAAAATGTCAGTTTCTTTCCAAATGCAGAAGAAAAGACGGTAAAGATTCATTTCCAGCAGCATACCTGATCCTGCATGGCCAGCGTACCTCAGCAGACATTTCCCAGTCTCTATACTCCACAGCAGAGCGGAGTGATCTGTCAAAGAGGAGGAAGGGAAACACCATGAAACCTGTTGACCCTCAAACCAATCAGCTTATTCTGGTTTTTATATTTACACTGCAAAAACTATCTAGAAATAAGTAAAAAAAATGTATAAATTAAGTGTATTTACCCTTAATTTGAGTAGATAAATAAGAGGATTTGCCAATGGAATGAATATTTTACTCTAAACATAAGATAATTAGATAATATGCACTTGAAATAAGACAATGCAATTGTTTATTCTTATTTTAAATGTAAATTGTCTTGTTCCATTGGCAAAGTGTCTCACTAACTCCTTAATTAAAGAACAAATGCACTGGTTTTAAGAAAAAAAAAATGATTTATTTAGATTTCCATTTTCTGCAGTAGGAGTATTTAATCTATTATGGTTATTAAATGCATTTTGGTTAAACCGTGTACCAGCAGAGGCGGTGCCAAGCACCACCGGCTGTGTCCGGGTGACACCGAGGTCCCAGATGCCATCCCGATGGCCGATGTACTCCTTGAGCAGCTGGCACAGAGCGCGGGACCCTGAGGTGGCCTTAAAACTGGAGACTATCTGCAGGGAGAAGGAAGAAACATGGTAGTGATATGCTTAAAAAAAAAAAAAAAAAAAAAGAGAGAGAGAGAACTGACATGGGTCTGAAGCAGTTTACCATGAAAACTAACCCTTAACACCTTCATCACATTTAAGCCAGCAGCTTCAGCGGATTTTATTACATAACAGACCAACCCAAAGCAGAGCATCCGTTTAAACCAGAGAGGGAAGGATACATTCACAAAAAATTAGGACAAAAAAATCTGAAAAGTGTGGCATGCATTTCTATTTTTAAGAACCCAACATTTTCTTTCTATCCTTATATCCAGTTACCTCTAATTGCCTTGCTGGAGAAAAGCCTTTCCAAAGCATGATGGTGCACCCAAATGTTTTTGTTTTATTTTTTTTAAATCCTGCTATGATAATAATGCAGGTTAATACTGAGATGATCTCTTTAAGGCTGATTTATACTCCCGGTCGTTTGCATGTGTGTTGAAGTGAACGCAAATATTCCCCGCCCCTTCCGCAGACGCTCTGCTGCATCTCTCCAAAATTGTAGGTGAC